AAGACACGAAACGATCGGTTTGTGCCAGAAACCGAACAGTATTTATATCATTTTTTTACCTCTAATACACCACTATGTCCAACTGACTGTGGGCGCGCGCACGGAATCCGGTGCATGAGCGGTGTAACAATGACTGTGCACTGTGTAAACAATGAGTGACGTTTGAGTATACGCGTGAGAGATCACTTCCGGCGCTTGCGTAAACTACGCCAGAGCGCGTACACACCTCACGCACCGGATGCCTGCGCGCGCTCAAAGACAGTTGGACATAGTGGTGTATTAGAGGTAAAAAATGATATAAATACTGTTCGGTTTCTGGCACAAACCGATCGTTTCGTGTCTTAGGACATCAATGTGTCGTCACAAACTCTTATTTTTTAAACAACAAAAATATGTCTTTACCAGAGAATCGAATCTTTAATTTTATAAATTTAAATATATAATATTCAATATCAATCCAAAACATTTGGGTAAATACACAATCATAAAATAAGTAGATTTTATGGATTCTTTCTCTAAGTTACAAAAGATGCATGTAGTCTCCATGTCTCTAAAACGATTTTGCGACTACTTGTCTCACTGGGTAAATCAAATTAATAACTTTATATGTAACTTCATTAACTTGATTTTATGGATTCTTTCTCTAAGTTACAAAAGATGCATGTCTCTAAAACGATTTTGCGACTACTTGTCTCACTGGGTAAATCAAATTAATAACTTTATATGTAACTTCATTAACTTTATTGATGAGACAGTATTTACTTGGTAAATTCCAAACCTCTTTCCATTCAATCTGATCATATAACGAATTCCAAAAAGATTTGCTTTTAGGCTGACAGAGGAACTATTCACTGATGACATCGATCCGCAGACATTTTTGCAAAGTATGTTTAATATGTAAATCTATCTTGAATTTGTTTTGAATAATTACATGGAATTGAAAAATAATAACACTTTGTGAATAGAATAGGTTGGGGGGCCTTGCCATATTGATTCGGAGAGGAGGGGGGCCTTGGAGTAAAAAAGGTTGAGAACCACTGCTTTAATAAACTAAATGTGGGACAATTTAGTCCCAAGAAGTATTGAAAGAGTACAAATAGAAATATACTACTAGTACATTGTACTACATAGTACATTACATAGTACATTACTTACTACATAAAGTATACTTGAAAAATATACTTGAACTTTCTTCAAGTTTACTTAATAAAATGAACTTGAAGTTTACTTGTAAGGGCTTTTATACAATGAATACTGCTAGCAATATTGACACCAGAAACACCAGAATTCTGCAACACGGTCAACAGCCTAAAAGGGAAAAAACACAATGCTTCAACGCAGGAAACAACCTTTCAAAGCATGCTTCGTTTTGGGTTAGCATATTTGAGTCAGTTTTGAGAGCAGTTCCTGTCACATGTGCTGCCGAAATGGGGTCAGGGGTGATGGGGATATCAATAACTTTAGCAGATTCCTGCTTTGCTTGCTCAGCTGTTCTGTTTCATCATGAGTACATGTCAATAAACATGCTAATCTCCCATATAAAGACAGAGGAAAATAAAATACCAGGATTTGAGAACAGTTATGATGGCTGAGCTATTTTCTGGACAATTGCTGTGCTTCACAGCATCTCTTGTAATGTGGTGCTCATGTTGAAAGGCCAGAAGGTTGCTCACAAATATACTCTAGCCTCTTTGTTTTGTTATGACCTATTCCTTCTTTGCAGTCTTGTGTTCTAGTCATGCAACATAAAAAAGGTCAAAAAACACCATAATACTTGTCCTTAAAATACAAGTCATGTTTGCATACATTCAAATAATAGAGAATCAACATAGCTCATACATTCAGTGAATACTGAGTACAGTAAAAGCATAGAGGAAGTTTTTTTTTTCTCAACAGGATGCAGTTAAGTGCTGACGGAAGAGATGAGTTTTAGCTGTTTATTTAATATTGTCAGGGATTCAGTGTCTCAGATTGGGTTGGGAAGATAATTCCACCAGCAAGGAACAGTGAACAAAAATGTTCTGGTTGATTGATTTTGTGCCTGGTACCATGAGGTGTCACTCACTTACTGACCTCACCCTTCTAGAGGGGATGTATACTCATAAGGCTGAGTGCTATGTAGGAGGGTGTGGAGACTGCGGCTGTTCTGTATGCAAAAATCAATATCTTAAACTTGTGCGATTCAAACCTTCATCATAGTGGTGTCCTCGCAATGTAGTATTTGAAGGTCAGCTTGTTGTCAAAGATTGCCACAAAATCTCTGACCAAATTTGATGAGATTATTGTTGATATATATACAGTATCTTTAGAAAGTTTTAGCTGAATGAACTGAATCCATGAACACATCCTCATATTTATATTGTATATATATTAAATTTTCTACTTTTGTAATGCTTGTTTGGCCTCTTTGTATGCCCTCATCCTCATTGTATGGGGAAAAAAACAGCATAAACATTCCAAAGACTAATATTGGGTTGACTAAATGACAGAAATTAAATTTGGGCACTTTTGCTTTAAAAAAGTGGAACTTTTCCTTTAAATGGAAGATAAATTTTTTTATCAACTATTACAAAATCCAGATAGAATAGAATCTAACGGACTTGACTGAACAGACTAAATAATATCTGTAATCTTAATCTAGTTAAAACTGTTCTCTGGACCATGCACCCCTCCCTCTCACAACATCAGGAAATTAACCAGTCAAAGGTGCTGAAAAAGTAAACAAGCCTGTGTTGAAGTTTTCGAAGCTTTGAAGTGGAGCTTGAGGTGGCGTGCTGGGTTTCGGATGCAGTGTTTGTGCAGGGCTGAACAGCGGGGGAAAAAATTGGTGGGTTGTTTGAAATTTGGAGATCTAATCCGGTATTTATCAAAAGCACACCAGCTCCATCCTCAATTAAATTTGGGCACTTTTGCTTTAAAAAAGTGGAACTTTTCCTTTAAATGGAAGATAAAAATTTTTATCAACTATTACAAAATCCAGATAGAATAGAATCTAACAGACTGACTGAACAGACTAAATAATATCTGTAATCTTAATCTAGTTAAAACTGTTCTCTGGACCATGCACCCCTCCCTCTCACAACATCAGGAAATTAACCAGTCAAAGGTGCTGAAAAAGTAAACAAGCCTGTGTTGAAGTTTTCGAAGCTTTGAAGTGGAGCTTGAGGTGGCGTGCTGGGTTTCGGATGCAGTGTTTGTGCAGGGCTGAACAGCGGGGGAAAAAATTGGTGGGTTGTTTGAAATTTGGAGATCTAATCCGGTATTTATCAAAAGCACACCAGCTCCATCCTCAGTGCCAGAATGACAAGCTGCTGAGAAGAAATGATGCCAAATCAAGTGAAACCAGTACACATCCATGCAAATGTACATTTTGGTGGGTCTCAGAACAGCTGTCAAGAACATATTTTAAAATTAATCTTGTTTTCTGTAATAATTTTCATTTCAATTTACATTTTTTTAAGTAAACTTTATTTTAGTACCAAAAAAATCTTTAAAAATGGATGGATTACAGTGTGATTTTTTCAGACTATGGTAATTAAAATTTGGAGATAAAATCTGAATAATTTGCATGAAAATACATTTTTGATTTGGTGAAAAATTATCAGCACGTTTTTATGACATTCACCTACATGCGTGCTGAAACAAGAGGTGCTTGAGGAAGTGAAAATAAAACAGGATTTCAGTTTGATATTTGGGAACTAACACACTGCTTAGTGAGGATGTTTTCCATATTTTGATCTTTGCTTTAGCTAATTACCTAAAGACTTACTTAAAAGTGCGTTCAAAATGTGTTAAATGTAGCATGGGCAACTTTCTTGACAAAATGTTCAATTGTCTGATACAATCATAAATACAAAATGCGATCTTAGTAATTGGTGGACCAACTTCAGGTACAGAGACTAGACTACATCTACCTTTTTGACCTTATTGGAAATGTTTACCAATAAGATGTTTATGTAGGATAAATAAAGTTTAGTCAAGGATGTAAAAAAGTATTAAAATATTAGTGTAACCAAATATAATATTAGAAGAATCTATAAACTGGAAAACCTAAAGTAATTCACCAGTTCTGAATTTTGTGGAGGAACTGGTGCATAAAATGTGATAAAATGTGATGCATAAAATGTGATCCAGTCATGTTCAGTGCTGTCGAAGCCAAAACACTACGTGCTTTGCATGACTAAGTGCGAGCAGTTGGATTTGAAGTGGGTAAGAGTGAAGTCAGTACTTCTCATTAGACTTTTTTTTCCCCTGATGGTCTTTTTCATTTCCTCTTTTTCTTTGTTTTTCAAGAGCTAAACTAGATTAACTGTGAATGGCATGGCAACACAATGGGTGCGGGTGAGCTGACGTATCAGTTGTGCCAATGGCTTAAGAGCTGTGGATCTCCCTTTACAGATATAGCAACACCTTAATGCATGGCAACAAATGCAACTTTTACAGGCATGTTTAGAAGGGAGGATTTTGGTCAGGATTGGGTGTTAACAATTTCTGCCAAATCTAGCGCTGTGCTGTCGTCACAAATTGTGCGGTTACAAATATATTTATCAACCTCATTTACCCCAAACCTCAGCTTAGTTTTGCCTGCAGCAGATGACATATTTATAACAATGCAAAAAAAAGAATTCTGAAAAAGGACAGTTGGTTCTTGAACGCGGCTCACATCAAAGTGAATGAAGTACATCTGATTCACTATTCAGTTACTGACACTTTGAGTGGTTGAAATGTTGTTCTTACAATGCATTTAGTCGAAAGACTAAAGTTTTTTTTTTTTCAATATTAGCCAAATGAAATGGCTAACAACACAGAGAGAACTTCATCTTTTTTATCAATGTGGCAGTACATATACGGAGGCATATAGATATTAAGAGTTTAAACAGTAACTGCTGAATACTTAAAGATGATATTTAAACTTTGCAACTGCAATATATTGACTATATTGTACTTTTTGATTGGAAATTACACAGGGAGAAGGAGCGATAATAAAACACCTCTACCTCTAATTGTAAAACTTTATTATCAAGTGATGTTTGTAACAGAAAAAAAAACTGTGCATTATGACAGTATCAATGTCAGTGCAAAGTTAATATACAGTATTATATAAAGTGCCAACAAAAGTTTTCAGCTTGTTAATACTATGACCCTTCAGGCAGTCAATGTGTTTACATGTGGTATTGCATAAAATGGCATCATTCTATTTTGTTTGTGGGTTTAATTAAATAGTGGTTATATCCTAGTATGTTATTTTCACATTCACTTACCATTATGGAAATGTAAGTACATTCACATATAGTTACAGGTACTCGTCTACTTTAATCAAGTTCCAGTTGATTTACAGCATATTTGTATTATTCTTACTCCACAGTTAAGTATTCCAAATGTTTGGATATAATTCCATTGACAACAGGTGTGCCCCCAGTACTGGGCTGAAGGATGACTTTAAGAGGGAGGCAAATCCCCTAAAAGGGCGTTGTGTAATTACTGCCCTGAGAGATATTAACAAAACAAATTAGGGCATATTCACATGTTTTATGCCACATTTCATCTACTGCAGAGTGCTTTTTGTGTATTCAGTTTCTTTACACCCATTTGTCCAATACTTGTCCTTATACATTAGACTCATTGTGGAACATCTTGTTCTTTATGGACCTCAAGCTGAACTGAAGAGAGGAGCTCGTCTCTGACTGCAAGGCCTCAGAGAACTTGACATCAAAGGAACGGTTCATCTGAGACTTCCTCTTAATGGAGTTTTGTATCGTCTCTGACGTGAAATAGTAGACAATGGGGTCGAAACAGCAGTTGGACACAGCAATACACAGAGCGATCGGATAGATCGTCCGAACCACTGATTCTACTGCACAGCCCTCCAAGGTTTTTGTCCGCACAAGTGAATAGAAGACAAGGTTGACATTGTAGGGGATGAAACAAAAGCAGAAGATGGAGAGGTGGACAATGATCATCCTCAAGATCTTTTTCTTGTTCAGCTTCCCTCCCCGACTAACGATCTGTGGCCTCCTCAAAGTTTGGAGCACCATAGCGGAGCAAACCACGTTCAGTATCAAGGGGATAAGGAATCCCACTGTCTCTATGAAGATCACTACCTTTGAGAGATGGCTCTTCCACTGATTTGAGGAGAAGTTCTCAAAGCAGGCTATCGTGTTGTTTTTTTGCTTGTTAGTACTGTTCAGCATGAAGCCTGTCGGAAGACTTCCAGACAGCACTAGAACCCAAACAGCAGCACACACAATTTTGGCATTGCGTTTTGTCCGGAGCCCCCTTGAACGGAAGGGGTGAACGATGGCGAGGAAACGGTCCACGCTGATGCATGTTAGGAACAGGATGCTCCCATACATGTTCGTGTAAAAGAGTGAGATGGAGAGTTGGCAGAGCAGGCTGCCAAATGGCCAGTTCTGCTGGATGAAGTAAAAGACCCTCAAAGGGAGTGTGAGCACAAATAATAAATCAGAAAGCACAAGATTCATCATATACGTGGTGGTCTCATTCCGCAGTTTCAGTGAACAAGTAAAAATGTACATGGCTGCAACATTGGTGATGAGTCCCACCATGAAGACAACGCTAAACACTATGCTATAGAGTGGATATTTGAAGTTGTCATTCTTTGGGCAGTGGGTGATGTTATTTAGCTGCTGAGAGGAATTTGTGTTGCTGCCACTGCCAGTCCATATCTCGGTCAAAGCCTCCATCTGAACAGTGGTGTTGTACATCTCAATGAGAAACAAAGGCGCACTATACGGTGGCAGTTAGGCGAGACTACACAATAAGAGGATTTTCCTCAATCCACAATTCAACAGGGCAAAACAAAGCATGTGCAGCAGACAGATTGCTAGCAACTGCAAGATGGTCTTGCCTTCAAGGACACATAGATCTCTTTAATGTGCTTTTTCTTTTGGCAGTTCAAAACTGAAACGGTTCTAAACACTCCTCTTCAACATTCTTCAACAAAGCCTCATGTTGAAGGCATTTCCCCCAGAGACTGGAGCCAGACCCGACTACCTCTTCCCCTCCCCCTTCCTTCTGTCCTTTCCCTAGCCACCCCACAAGATTGTTGCTCCAAGCTTAGCAGCTACTCACTCCAAAGTTTCAATTCACACAGTTCATCTGGTTCGACTTGAACAATACCATCCACATGCAGCCAAAGGGAGTAGTCCTATTCGAATCCACTCCTGGTATATCCTATTGAGGAAAAACAAATGTCTTAAGTCCAAAATACTAATTAAAGCATTCCCAAATTCTTCCCAGACTCGTCTTGAAGTATCCTTTAAATTAAATTAGCTCTCTTTGTTCTCAGTCCCACAGATTGTCCAGTGATTGTGGAGCACCTGTAGACATCATGCAGCTCTCTCTGAGTGTGACAGTGCAAAAGCAAGTCAGACTTGCTTCATCTGAGGGTCTGTTTCCTGGCCCACCCCCTTCCTTGCTGCTCTGTCTTGTTGTATCCGTCAGCAGTAGCCTCAGGGGCATTCTGTGCTGTGAGCATTGAAGAGGCGAGAGAGAGGCAGCTGTGCTGTACTTTACGAGCCGGTGCTATCATGTCTAGCATATTTGACTAACCATGGCTCCTCCTACATCCTGGATAGATCCCTCCTCCTCTGTCAGAGAAGCCAGACAGCAAGTAATTATTATACAGTGTGCAAGGTGCAAACTGTTCTTTTAACAACAACATAACTCTTTCAACAGCTTTGAATTTGTTATTGTATTATTTAATATTAAACCTTACCCAAAATAAAATGACATCAAGAGGTAATGCTTTAAAAGTATTACCTCTTATTGGAGTTCTTATTTGTGTTTCTTGTAAGTATCAACTGTTTTGTTGAAATTAAGAGTCTATGGAGCTATAAAATGTGGATAGAATAGATTAGTTAGTGGAGCTTTGGAAGAATTTTGGTAAAAATGTTTTAGTTAATATTGAAATCTCAGACTAGTACAGACACTGGTATCTTGGCAAAGAGTTCTTAGTTCTACTTAGGAGATACATTTGATAATACTAGAGAGTTTTACCAAGTCATGGTTTGCCTTTAGCATGGTCCAGTTAGCCCCTGCTGGTAGATCTGGTAATTACACCATCTGAATGCAAAGAGCATTGACAGTCATTCAAATTATCTGACTATTTGACTATATTTGCATTTGTTTATGTTTATAAAACATATATCTACATTTATTTACATTTATATTCAGTGTTATACAACCATATATATATTCCCCTAAAAGTATGAAATGTATTTATTTTTTCTGTCTGCTACTGACCTCACTGAAGGGCTTGCCATTGTGGGCATTCTTGTGATGACTTTAGTTGTCATTACGTAATTTTCCTGCAGCTCTAGCATCATTACTCACATAATATTTACTGCTCATGTGCTTGACAAAACATAAAATAAAATCAAAAATTGCAGTTTAGAGACATTCTGTCAGGGTTAGGCAAGGGATTTTGTATTATATACCACACCCTATGATACATTGCTCTTAACTTGCAACAACAATGTGCAACAAATTATGCAATATTGTGAGGAACCGGTCTTTAATAATGGAGCACAACATGGACAGTAGTTCTGGAATTATTTTTCCCATTCATTTTTTTTTATATAGGAATTTTAAACAAAAGTCCTCATAGAATTTTAAGGCTAATCAAATAAAATCAACTCTGAGATTAATCACAACATTAAAAAGTTTGTTCTGAAGAAAAAAAAATGAATGTAAAAAGCACTTAATGTAATGTAAACTTAATGTTAACTTGAGACTTGAGATGATGAGAGTTGAGATATATACTGTAGATATATATGATATATAGTTGTATAGTTGTTTAAGTAGAAAGACTGATTCACAATGCTCTTTTAACATAGTTTTTGTTCCTATGGTAACAAGGATGTTTCTAATTTGTTGATCCAAAGTGCTGCCTTCTGGATTGTGGCTAGAGTAGTTCTTCACTGGGTATTCTGCTTTTACACACATAAAAAAAAAAAAGTTATTCTATTTTATTATTATAAATTGGTTTTGACAAGGAAAACATTATTTGGTGTTTTACTTTAAAAACTGACTGCTGCTGACATAAGTTCACAGAATAAAAATGCTCAGTTTTGTGTTTCTTTATTGCTTTTGATGTCTATAAAAAAAAAATGTAAAAAAAAAAACAATCGGATATATAAAGTAAACATCATTGATTAAGCTATGCCCATCATTAGTGGTACTAATAAAACACATTTTAAAAAAAATAAATGCAAGTAAAAAATAAAAACACTGTTTGTGCTAAGCAGTATTATTTTAATATCATAGAGATACTATTAGTTTTTATTAATATTTAGATTTTTAATTTAATTTCATATAATTTTTTTTGTGTTTGTATCTATAATTTCAGCTAATGTTTATTTCAAGACGACATTTATTTCATTGCATTTCAGATAATGTTTATTTTTTTATTTATTATTATTATTTTTTTTTTTTTTATGGTTTTAGTTTTAGTTAACTATAATAACCCTGGAGCTTAGAAGATACTTCAAATTATGTCACTTGATGAGGAGATGTGTGATATTACTTTATTTGTGTGATAAACTGCATGTAACACATTTTTAGACTGGGGTTTTTTTGGGGCCTGTTTTATCATTTGCCAGTGAAAACTCATATTTGACGTTGATGTTTTGATATTCAAAATTTTGCTTTTCTGATGCTGAAACTAGACATGACATGCTGATGTATGTTCATGTCTAATGTATATTTTGTTCAAGGACAAGGCTCTCTGTAGATTCTGGAACTGACACTAACACTTCTGGAGCTAACACTTCTGTTGGTCCCCAGTCCAGCATTTGCACATTTTCCTGCTATTGAAATGAGATGCTTTGCGTTCCTGAGACATGTGTTTCATCTAGTGGCAGTGCACAATTGAGAGTCTTGTTTTTATGTGTTCAGTGGAATGGTTTGTTGGTCTTGCGTGCAGCAAACAATGACATAGTCTGTTTTTCACTGAAACTGTCTCCCTGACCTTGATGGTGTTTGTTTTAAGGGAGCCCCATGGGGAAAACAGAACAATGGTCATAAAAACATCTTACATGTTTCACTGTGTCGGCACAGGCTGAACAATGAATTGTTTTCATGTCAGTTTGCTGGATTTTGCTCCTTAATAAAATCTCTAACACTCCAAGTGATGGTGTTTGCTTTGGTAACAATATGTTTTGCATAATACATTTCAGTAATTTTGTTTATATGATATATGTTATACATAAATTGTTCAGAATAGCAGTGAGATGCCATTAATATTTTCTAGTTTTCTTTTCCTTGTGAAAAATTAGTGCATATATTACAGAAAGTCTATACTGTAACAATTAAATGCAATTGTTTTTTAATTTACATTTATTTTAAATACAGTTGCTGAATTGTATAACACAGTATTTAACCCAGCTGAGTAAAGACTGGCTTTACAGTTATAAAGATTTGCTTTACATAAGTAAATCTTCATATGAAATTTCATAATTACTTCTATTGATTGTCTTTGAAATACAACAAATGTTAAATTTAAATGTAATATCGAATAACATACTACATTTAAAATAATCAAGTACTTGCATTTGCTTTAGTGTGTTTGTCAAAAGTGTACTTCTTTAAACATGACACAAGATTATTAAACAACGATTTAAAATGTTCTTTAAAGTAAAACATTTAAATTGACATTATTACAAAGTGCACTTTTTAAAGTTTACTAAAGTGTTCTCTCTTTAAGTGCAGGGTTTTAAAAATATACACATTAAAGATTTGAAGTACACTAGAAGTGCACATTCAATACAACTAAGTGCACTTCCTTTTGTTGTAAGAAAAAGTGTTTTGGCATTGTGCTTGCATATTTACTGTACCACCTAATGTAGAAACTAATGTAGAAACATTGGATATTGACTACATTATCTGAATAAAAAGATCAGATTTTAATGACAGTGCGGACACACAGTCCAGATTTGAAAACCAATTTAAATTTGTGTGGCATGTCAAAAGCCTTTCTCTCAATAAAAGCTGCATTAGAACTTGACATTTTGCAAATTCTGTGCATGCTGCACTTATCTGTTCATTAGGGAAAAGTGTTTTGTGGGAAAATAAAGTATGTTTGCTCTTCCCACTTCCCTTTAGTCATAATATTTTTTCAGTAGACAGCACTATGCTAAGGTTAGTTTAATAGCTACCTTGGTTGAAAAGCATCAATATCATGGCTCTTTCATTGTTGACTGATTTTGAGTGATTACATTTATATAGTACATGCGGGTGTATTACGGCTGCTTGTCTATAGCTAATAGTTTGCTTTTTGCAAATAGAAAAACATTAATGTGTACCAGTTGTTTCATACTGATACTGGACTTAAGAGTATTATAATTACATAATTGCTAAGTTGCACTAACAGTTCTTCCAGGAATACATCCTAAAAATAAAGATAATTTACTGGCCTTTTAAACTACTACTGTCAATATTAGACTCATCACTATTCCAAATCTTTCCTTGTGAATTTTTCATTACATGTATATGGAAAAATAGCAACCTCAACATTCTGCTAAATATCTCCTTTTGTGTTTCACTGAAGAAAGAATGTCAAGTCTGAAAGTCAGTTTTTTTTCCCATTAAATGTACAGTGAAAGCTATTGTATTTGCTGGTGCTTATGGCAAATGCCTCAATTTTCATACATCTCTGGACCTCTGGTTAGGTGTTTATTTGATGTTGCAATTCACATTTTTGTAGGAGTGGCTGGCTGTTGTCATATTGAGAGAATGTGTGGCAACTTGTTTGTACAAGCTAAAAAGACACTGCGTCAGCTAGAGTCGGTATTACACCATTGGCCATACTTTCATAATTGTTGGCATTGGCAGGAAAGCAAAGTGAATGTCAAGTTTATAAGTGGTAATGCAAAGAACACAACCAAGTAACCAAGGCCAATTCATTGAGATTAATTTCTCAAATGAATCCTCAAAGAGGAAGAGATGTAAAAGAAAGAGGAAAGTACTGTATATACAGTGATGTCGAAAAAGTCTGTCACTAGTGAAAATGCTTCTATTTCTATATATGTTGAATTTTGCAATACATTTAAAATCTACACTTTGTAATGTAATGTAATATATAATAATATGTTTGTTTTAAATTTTTCAAAATTCAATTTTCAGAATTCAATTCCATTCAGTTCAATTAAAATAGTCTGTAAGATCCAAACAAGGCTTTTTAGGGAAGGAAATGATGACCATGTTAATGTAGACAAATGAAAACATGGCTGTGGCTTGTGTATGTGTTTTTGTATTTACAAGCCATTACTTTGCTCCGCTAATGCTCATAAATATGATGGATAAAGTGACTGAAACAGGTGAATTTAATGTGTAAATATACAATCCTTTGGGGAAAAAATACTGACTGAAAAAACAAAGCCAAATGTCATATACCAGCCATCTTAAACACAACCTAACAGGGTCTAGTTGTAACACACATGGCTTAAAAGTTCACACACACATGCTAGCATTGAAGCATACTGTATTTACTAGTTGCTATATCAACACTATATAGAGAAACAATTGCACCAAA